GGGAAACTGGCAACGATGGTTACGCTCCGAGTAATTTATTACGAATATTACAATCTTCAGACAGATATGAATATCTCCAGAGATAACTGATTAAGTCCACTTTTTATGGATTTCTCAATTTCATTAACCAAGTACGTAATTAGTCGTCCGTAGGTAAATTGGATGGTTTGTATCCAAACCTAAATTCCACACCTCTAAAGAATCGTACGAAGTTTTTGAACACCTCTTAATGTTTCTAGAAAATTAGGCAATCGTTCCTTAAATCGACAGTTTGATCAATAAAAGCAGAAATCCAAGAGAAAGAGATTGAAACGTGAAATTTCTTTTGTGCCTTCGGCGATTTAATTAGTGCTCGATGTTTGATGAATTGATGAATGAATGATGAATTTTTTATCTGTCACGGAGAGACGCCACGAATGATCGTAAGTTTGTAATCGTCGCTGTTTATTTATATCTATCCCAATTCGCAGAGCTTAGCACAACGAAAGAGTAATTTTTCGAAATTCGATGGAAAATTTCTCCGTATTTTAACAAATGGAATTGATCAACGTAACTTTCCTTCTTTTCGATCTTCTTGAAATAATTGAAAAAATTCCAACTATATCTGCTATCGGCAAAAAGACAGGTTAATTGATAGAAAATTCTAACCTAAGTAATAAAGTTTATCTCGTAAATGACAGCGCATAAAAACCAGAATCCCGAAGAAACACCATTCCCGAGTTGTTTCCTCAAGTGTGACAACGCTCATTAAGGATTCTAGGTTTCAAGTTTTGCCTCGGCGAAAGAAAAGGAAGGAGCAAGTCCTAGGAAAATGTCTCAATATCCATCGAGCATCGCGAGCCAGCCCCAACCGGCTCTTCCATTCGCGGTAACCAGCCTGAATTCATCATCGTCGAGGCGTAACGCGCGAATCGTTTGCTCGACTTTTTTTTTCCTAATCATCCCTCAGTCCACGCGCGCGTGCGTCTTCCATTCAAATTGAATCATTAGGAGCTCAGTCGTGGCTTTTTGCAACCGTACGCGAATAATAGTCCGAAGAATTTCAAGGTTTCCCGCCGTGGACACTTTCCGACTTTTATTCTCGATGGGTTCGAGACCGGCACCCCAAGAATCTAGGCCAACGAACCAGGAATTTCTCTTTCCTCGAAAGAAGAGACGCAGCAGACAATGAGTTCTCAGGCGAAATTCCTTCCATGTCTATATCGAAAAGGAATTTTGAAATGCTTTTCTTAATGTTTTAAGTTCCTTTTATTAATTAACAGCGATCTAGCTACTCTTTGTCTTTATTTTGATAATTTCACTTATATAGCTTTCGCTTATTCAAAGAAAATCGAAACATAAAGATTTAAGAATCGCGTCAGACTTGGGCTTAGTTAATTTTCATTCGAACGTTTCTTTAACACGTTGACTGCCACGAGAATTTTCCGTATCTTGTCTTGGGAACCGTGGTAGATTGGAAAAGAAAAAAATACACCAGGATATTTCATTGTTGCCAAATATTCTATTTCGTAATAACGTTGATAATAATAATAATAATTTATCCGATTTACACCCCGCAGCCAAGAAACGCGAGTTTTCTATTTTTATCATTTTCTAGTCACACGCTTGGATCATCCTTCCGCGCTTTGCTCTTATGCCATCGTTAGCCTAGTTACTATACGCCGACACTATACGCTACAAGTAAATATTATATTACATTTGCCAACACCTTCTCCAACAATATCATGCGAAACGTTTTTCGGTACCGTGTACCTTCTTTGAACCATTTTACCACCGTTAACGTGTCAGCAGCGCGCAAGGGTAGAAAAATGGAAGGATTTCACGGAGAAGAGAAAAGATGTACCTTGCGCAGCGACGACAAAGACACTCGGATCCCATTGTTCAGGGTCGATCGCGCTGCACTCCGATTCGACGGCCCGGTTCTACGTACGTACATGTGCAAACAGGGTGATAATGTATTCAAGGTCCGCCCCGTTGGCGATGGTGGGGGTGAAACGGGGCGGCCCGCTCGCTATACGTACTGTAACAGATGTTAATTATCCCTTCTGTGTATAGTCAGCAAAAAAAGAGCCTGGTCTCTCGCTCGGACATATCGTCTACTCGTGTTACATCCCCGTTGAGAATGCCTCTTGTGTCCACGCTTCGAACAGACTCACGTGGCCCGCCTAGTACGCACGCTCCAATCGCGTTCAACTTCCGCCGTGCCCACTAGGGAAATTCACCTTAGATCGAATTCTTTTTGCTCAGTCAAGTAGAACACAGTACCTTCCACGTGTACTGGTTTTTCGGCTAGTCCGAAAGTCCTGAATAGTTCGTTAGATTTTGATTGAAGTTGGTTGGATTTTGGCCGTTTAGAGTCTGCGGACGAAGATAAGTTTTATTTGATCCGGTATCGACGCGATGTTCGTTTAGTTCATTTCTTCAAATAATCAATGACGTTCAAACATTTCAAGCATCGCGTCATTTATGTCGAAGAAACGGAGATAAGATACCCTTTCCTTAATCACGAAACCAGTTTCGTTCTCGAGGGGTTAATTGGACGAGGATGCGTAAGAAAGTCGAGAAAGGAGAATCGCGAATGCCGTTTAAAGCAAACCGCAAATACCTGAATCCGGCGAGAATAAAAGGTCATTCAAATTGAACAGTTTATTAGAACGAGGTCTCATTTTATGTGCATAAATCATTAAAATTATGTAAAGTATTGTTAGGAGTAAGAAATCGTAGGTACAGGGAAATATCGGCGAGAATCGTTGACGAATTTACTTACTGTACGCTGGTGGCAAAAGTGCCAGAAGCCACCACGACGCCAACAAATATAGTTCGTGAACTGCTTGCGTACCGTTCGCGAATAGTAACGTGGGTCCAGCATCAGGGTTGAGTTTGTCAGTGAACAAGTAGATCAAGAATGACAGCTCGTGTCTCGTCCCGTAAGTCTACGGTAGAATGGAAGATGTTCTTGTCGCGGAGGGCAAGATGGAATTTCGGAGCGACCACGTCGGGGGAAAATGGTTTCTTGTGGCGCAGCTGAACGGTCGCGTTGCCATATTCGTCGGGGATCTTTAATGGGGCAGTTTTAGTGCGGAAATAAATAACCGATAATGAACCAGGCAAAAACGGAACTAACGATTTTCAGGCCGAATTAGGCAGCGAGCCATGGATGCCTCCGGCGGAGTCATCCAAATCGATTGAGAGAGCTAACTGGTAATCAACAGCCTGAAATAAATGATTAACGAATGATGAAACGAGAAGAACGACTGCCACAGCTAATTCAATTCCTGCGAACAAGTTTGTTGGCTTTTAATTGCTTCCACATTAACAATTCTATGTAATAATTGAGATCGAGATAGTGAATTGAAAATATGTATATATCACACCACCTCTATTGCATCGCAGATCACAGAATTATCTACCACGTTAATAGACTACGTTTCGGCTCGCGAAACAAATTTCTTTCGTATCCTTGTGAAATTTGTACGTGATCGTTAATTACGAATATTTCACCCTTCATAGATAAACTGGGTTGTTCATATTTTTGGGAATATAACTTCAAAATATTTCGTATTGTTGCGTGTATTTGCGTATCACTAAGTTTCCCATAAATGCGTAAAAATTCACCGTTTCTACCCATCGATGTCTCTGCTATATTAATCCAACCCTTCCTAAGTTAAATGCTCGATGATATCTTCTTTCGATGGACTCTTTCAATGAAAATAAAAATTTAGCGAAAAGATTGTTTAAGGGTGAAATTACGCTCGACTCGTGAACTATCCAGTTTCCAATTGCTCAAGTTCCACGAATTGGCGGTTCCGAGTGATCGACGACTAATTCGAAAGGAGCATCGAGACGCTACGAAAATGGACGCGGTTTCACCAACGTAGAAACGAATTGTCCCTCGTTTCATGTTATCGCAGGCCCGTCTACTCGGCTGACCGAGCAGCGCTCGTATATCAGCGTAGCTTTTGTTACGGCGACGTGCCTTTGTTTTCGCCTTGTTCTCGCGTCTCGTTCCAGTGGTGCGAACGTGGACGGGTTCTTGGTTCGGCACTCGGCAGCCTGTAACAGGCCCGGGCAACACACAGGGGTTTCGCTGAACTTGCTTTAACCCACTTTCGCACTGACACAGAAATAGATAACCGAGACGTGTCGGGGAATTCTTTCCACGTTCCGACGATTGTGTCAGCTGTGCAGGGAACCACCGTTCCTTATTCTCATTGGTAGTTTATTAGCCAAATTTAGGGGAAACGTCGACTCGCGGTAGAAACTGAAGATATCAACCCTTTGCAGTTAGAGCCACGTTTAACATTCTGCGTGGTTTGTGTTCTGTTTCTTGATGGATTCGTATTCGATCGAATTTTTCATAGATTGTTGCAAACAAATTTTTTTTGTTAATTACTGATAATGCAAATAGATTTCTTTGAAAAATATCACTTCTCAGAAATGAACTGCGATAAAACTCGTATAATGCGACGTGCTAAGAATTTTCACAGTGTTGGACTATCAAATATGTCGGATTATTGGATTGTATCTGTAAGACATGAGAGCGAGGATAAGTAATTTAAGAAACAACGATGATTGATGTAGTAATGCAGCATATTAACAAAAATAAAAGCTACATAAAATAAACATGTAATTTCCTTAAGCACTAGAATCGCGATATCAGTAAAAATACTTGCTATCAGATTCTTCGCTTCCGCAATTACCTAAGAAACACGCAAGCGTTTTTGATAACATTAGTAAGACAGAAATACAATTACATTGCTTCAATTCCAATTAACTATATACGTATAACGTACACGTACACGTTATAGCGTTCATTTGCTTCCATCGTCTAAATATCAAATGACGAAACACTATCGTGATGAAAACTATGCGATCTATCAGAATTCTATTATGCATTGTCGAATTCAGTTCAATTCAAAGCAAGAAAAATTAGCACGATTAAACCATCCAGGTGTAAAATACAAATGAAAATGACGTTTGGTCGTGTTTCTCTGTTTCAGAATGCATTGAAGAGCCGGCCGAGTGAGGAGATTCGAGATGTCCGCCGTAACCAGCCCGTATGGCCCCAGTAAGACACTCCCTTTTGCTAATGTATCACCGCACAGCAACCCCTCGTTACGATACTTTAGCGAGGAAACATAGCCAGCCTTGCAATTGCGTCATGCGCCGTCCCGTTTGATCGAATCGTAATAGCCGCGCTCGGCTCCTTCAACGATTCCAAGAACGTTCAATTAACGTTCGTACGGACCGGTTGAATTCTAATTAATGTTAAAAATTCATTCGCGACAAGCGGGCAGAACGGCCTTCGCGTTGCGCTGCAACATACATCGCGTCCTCCAGTTAAACATTGCTCGATTCAAGATTCGCAAGTAACATTCGTAATTAACGAATTGATCCTTTGAATTCCATCCTTTGTATCTGTTCGATCGGAAAAATATTCAATCTTCTACTGGATTAAATAGAGAAGTAGAATAAAGCATCGAGAATTCGATTAATAAGGCCGATTAGGAAGAATCGAAGGAAACGAAATATATATCGAGTAACAGTTAGATTCGTCGCGTTGCAGCACACCTGTGTCCAGTTAGAGATCGCTCGATTCGCGATTTGTAAATAACTTTTGGTCCTTCGAACTGCATCCTGTTCGACGAGCCTCGACCGATCGTGGCAGCGGGGTCTGGATTCGCCCTAAAGCAAATCGATTCCCCCAATCGTGTGTCTCTCGGATTACAAAAATCGGATCTTCTACTGGACAAAGAGCGGATCTCTTTATCAGGAAAAATTGCAATTTTCACTAGATCAAAAGTAAATCTCTCTGATCATAAAGATATTCGATCTTTCTGAGCCAAAATCAAAAAGTAATTTATGATAAATAGAAGCTGTAATACTTTGCCTAACAAGGATGATTAAAAAGAATTAAAGAAACGAAAGATCGATTGTAAGCTAAGATTCCTCGCTTTTCCGGGTCTGCGGACCCAATATTCACCCCTGTATCAGTGTCTGATACTCCGGTTGCTTTCCCATCAGCGGAGAGTCGAGTGTGAGCTAAGATTCCTCGCTTTTCCCGGGTCGAAGGACCCGGAGTCTGCACCTGCCTCGGTGTCTGATGCCCCGGTTCCTTTCTCATCAGCGGAGATGCTTTCCGACTCGGTGTACAACTACGCGACGACCCGGCGGGG